AGGCTAAAGCCGCTGAATGAATTAATTTTCAACTTCTGTCAATTTCCGTCCACCAGGGTTGCGTGGAACCCACATGCAGCACGCATACGACTTCTATAAACCAGATATGGTCTCTGAATATCCTGTGGTTGATGGCAAACTGTCTATACAGTGCTACCTCAGTGCGTTAGATCGCTGCTACACTGTCTACCGCAACAAAATCCACGCCCAGTGGCAAAAGGGTATGTAGCCTCACCTCATGGTATTGCAAGGTCTGGCAAACACTGGAATGTGTAACTACACAGACAATGCATTTTCAACTCTTAACATCCACTCTAAGGACTAGTATATAGTCCCTTCCTTCATGTTTGTGTGCTCTGAGGCAGTTGAAACGTTTGCTCTCTCCAGTAAGAAATGTCTTATTTCTGTTCTGGTATGGCTGGTTACCTATAGTCAGTAAGCAGTAGTCTCTACAGGCTTTTGTTGGCGTCATGTATAATACCGTGCTTAAAAGTGTGTTATTCCCCCCTCCACCCAGCCTTTTAAGTTACTGAGGTTGATGTTTAAGTGTTACATAATGGTACTGATTTTTTTTACCCTGTATGTTTAGTAATTACCTCACTCATATTAAGCATAGGTTTGAAGATTAGATAGTTAAATGAAGTAGATAATTTCTACATAGCATTTTGACATAATAAATGCGGAGATTCTATTAAGCTTATAGCTTTTCCTTCTAGAAGAAGAGCAAACGTTAGTTAGTGCACAAGATCAGTAAGAAAGTGATTTTTAAATAGCAGCAGCAGCAGCGTTTTAAATAAACTTGACAGCACTAGTTGTTGACTGAACGGTTGCCTCTTGTGTGCTGAGGTGTCATGATGACTGGTATCCTGCCATCCCCATTTTATTTTCATAGCTGGAGTGTTTACTAAACATAAGTTGTAACACAACATTTCTGCCACTTCCAGAGGGGACAGACAGACGTTTCACCTTGAATGACTTTGGATTCATGATCTTTCATTCTCCCTACTGTAAACTGGTACAGAAGTCTGTGGCTAGGCTCTTGCTGAATGACTTTCTCAGTGACCAGAGCCCAGAAACAGCAAACGGTGTTTTCAGTGGTCTGGAGGCTTTCAGGTGAGAATGGCTATTGTGTTCCTTATTCACGTTATCTTAATTTGTTACACAACCAAGGTGTGTTTTTACTTTCTGCTATTTTAGTAACCGTTTCTGAACTTTTTTCTTTTTTTTTTTAATAGGGATGTGAAACTTGAAGATACATATTTTGACAGAGATGTGGAAAAAGCTTTTATGAAAGCTAGTGCAGAGCTCTTCAATCAGAAAACCAAAGCTTCGTTGCTTGTATCCAATCAGAATGGAAATATGTATACCCCTTCAGTCTATGGTTGCCTTGCCTCTCTTCTAGCCCAGTAAGCATAAAACTGGAAAAAAAGTCATAGGTTTTTGTATGTAAAGTCATAAAAGGCTTTTGTGTCGGAAAGCCTTTTGTAAAAACACCATCTAGCAAAACTTCCTGCTAGATTGCCTTAAGCAGCAAGACTAAAGTTAAAAAATTATTCTGTATATGCAGCCAGTTCAAGTGGCTAGTAAACTCAAAATTCCTGCGTCAGAAGCTGATCTTCCTTCCTTACTGCTTTGCATCGTAGGGTCTTATTTGTAGGGTGGTGTCCCAGCTTCAACAGTCTTCCACCCTGCCCACCTCCCGCCCCTGAAAAAAACAAACAAACAAACAAACAAAAAACAAACCACTCCACTGCAGTGGAAAAGAGAATCAGACTGCTTTCTCTGCTTCATTATAACAAGCAAAGCCAAATTAAATTAGTATTTACTTAACAATTTATTTTTCTTCAATGACAGACTTCTACAAAGTCATGTTAAGTTTAAATGAAACCTTTCCTCTTGGATCCTTTTCGTTTATTCTGACTTTGCCTTCTGGGATGTGGCTGTTCATTTTAGGCTTTATGTCACTTAAAAATGAAAACTGGCTGCCTTCTAGATAATCATATTCTGGGCATTTCTTTGCTGTTTTGCCTAGGCTGCTTTGGAACTCATCACAAAACAGCAGTGTTTGAAATTGTTTTTTTAAAAGTCATCCTTTATGCACATAGCATGCTAAGTGGGTATTGTAGTCAATATAATTTGCCAGTTGCTTTTTCTAACCTAGCTGCAGATTCTAGTTATTTAAAATAGGCACTTTAAATAATTAATTTAATAACTTTAAAAGTAATTGTCACTTTAAACTCAACTGTTGCTTGATTTGCAGGTACTCCCCAGAGCAGCTCGCAGGACAGAGAATCAGTGTGTTCTCGTATGGCTCTGGTTTTGCTGCTACGCTGTATTCCATCAGAGTTTCACAGGATGCCACTCCTGGTGAGTGAAAGGAAGAGATGTTAATTAACTGCCTTGAGCAGCTCACCTCTAAATGCCTTGTTACGCTACTCACCAGCGTAGGTAAACCTGCAGAGCAATGCCTAATGACAGTAATGCTAAATTGATTTTCCAGCTCCAGGGAATGTTTATGTGTCTCCTTGGGCAAAAAAATAATGTTCTTCAAATTCTGTTAACGTGTTGATTGAGTAATTTGGAATATTTTTAAATTACTGAAGGTTTAGCTTCTGTAATGCAAAATATTTTGAATGGGCTTGAAACGTTAACATGCTAGCATGCAGTTCTCAGCACTGGTGCTGCCTTACATGATGGTTTTATGTTGTAGGTTCTGCACTGGACAAAATAACTGTCAGCCTTTCTGATCTCAAAACAAGACTTGACTCAAGAAAATGTATTGCGCCTGATGTCTTTGCCGAAAACATGAAGATTAGAGAGGAAACCCATCATTTGGGTAAGAACATCATAAATGTAAATCATTCCTACTGTTACAGCAGAATACTCATCACTTAGTTCACCTGACTTTAAGTGATGAGGGTATAGAATGAAGGAAACGTCCGTCCCTTTCTGAATAGCTCGTGTTCATTGGCCCAGTGTGGCTGAAAGGCAAAGGCAGGCTTGGTTTTTCTGTCTTACCGCGTCCAAACTGCAACAGCACCTGTGTTGTGTAAAACTCTCTCTAGGAGCCAGCTAACAGTGTCTTACTGGCTTTTTTGCAGCCAACTATATTCCACAGTGCTCGGTAGAAGATCTCTTCGAGGGCACATGGTACCTTGTGCGTGTGGATGAAAAGCACAGGAGAACTTATGCGCGGCGCCCGCTCATGGGTGATGGACCACTGGAGGCAGGAGTTGAAGTTGTCCACCCGGGCATTGTTCATGAGGTGAACACTCAGCACTCTTTTAAAGTTTGATACAAGTGGTGGAACGGTTTTATGTGTTAGTCTTAGCATGTGCATGTATGTTAAAAAAGGAAATGGTTTAACTGCTTTGTTAACACGTGTAACACACAAGCCAGAAGTAAAAAATTGAACATGGGATTTTAAAAAGTACATTTCATCGTAACAAGAACGAAACCGCACGAGAATGAAGCAAGAACAAACTGGCTCTTTTCACATAATCAGTTTGCACAAAGCATGGCTGATTGACTTAAGGCCAAGCCGTCCGGTGTAGCATGAATGTTGCTTGAGAGTTGGACTAGCCATGAAGTATGAATGTCTGTGAACTAGAAAACTGTATTTAATGTTTTTTTTCCCTTCTTCTTAGCACATCCCAAGCCCTGCTAAGAAAGTGCCAAGAATCCCTGCAACAACAGAATCTGAAGGCGTTACTGTTGCCATTTCCAATGGGGAGCATTAAGATACCTCTGTGAGGTGGGGAATGTAAGAAGGCGTGAGGGTAGGGTGAGAGAGAGAAAAAGGGTTGCAGTAGTGCTGAAGTTTGAGTGTACAATAGTACTTCCTTGGAGCATGGAAAAACTGTTTAAGCTCCTTGAAAAAAATTGTCATAATATGGTGTGCTGATATTTATAGTATTTCAGAACACTAAAATCATGAATATACTAGAGATGGAGGGGATTGTCAGGGGATTCCTTAACATGTCTGATTTTTTTAATTGCAGAGTAGTAGCTGTAGTCTATTACAAGGTCTTTGTACATAGGAAAAAAGTAATCTGCTGCTTGCTCTTTCCATGCAAAATGACTCAAAACCTACACTGTTAACTTCTACTTCTACTCAAGTGTGTGGCAAAATAGTCCAAGCTTTTAATGTTAGGGTTCTCAGTGCCTTGACAGTAAGCAGTCAGTCTTCTGAGTACTGCACTTCTCTTTCTCTTTATTGCCTTCCCTTTCTTCTCCCAGTCTACCTCCCATCACCTCATTGCTTTGGGAAAGGTATAGAACCAAGTAACATTCATTGCTGGAATAGAATTTCTCTCCTCTGTCGAAATGACTGAATCGAGAACAGCTAGACTGACAGGTGGTCTTCTTCCAAGAAACTCTGTGACCCACTGTGTTGGTTGCTATGTAATTCCTCCTAATGTCCATCTTAGGTGTTTTATACCTGCATTATAAACCACAGCAGCCTGGGAGGGAAGAGGAAAAAGAGGGGAGATAGTAATTTTTTTTCTTCTGAAGAAATTAGTTCATTGATTTGGCACCTTGCAGGTTTGTTTAGGAGAAGTACCTAAAGGCAGCAGAATTTTCAAATAAAACTTCTAGATATTATGCAGCTGTTCTAATTGGCAAAGGAAGGGAGGAAGATTACTTTGTCTAGAGCTCTGGCCTCTCGCTTTTCTTTATACAATATATTTCCAAAAGACTATTTCTAACTTTGAATTTGGCTTTGTACTTTGAAGTCCTTCTTACTTACTATTGGTAATACTGTAGGAGTGGGGTCTTTTTTTTTTCTTTTTTCCAACATGCAAGCTCAAACTATCCATTTTGCAAGTGGTAGATATACAATGCTAATGGGGATTCCATTCTGGTAGATTTTTAAAGCCCAGACTGGAAATTAACTATGACATGAGCCTTGTAAGCTTGTAATATATATTTAAAATGAGCTAATGTACAGAATGAAGTTTTGTTGAATTTATTTCTTTGCTGATTCACGAAGTTACATTATCTAATATAAAGTAGCAAAAAATGATTTGTCTGTTAAATTACAAACTTTTTGTGTGTAATGAAGTGTTTGTATTATCTGTCACTCACTAGGATTTGAAAACTTGCTGTATTTGTACAGTCAAGCCTTGGTAAAATAGTTGTTTGTTATAAATTGATGAATACTAATCTGTTTACTCTGCTGAAAATGATGGAGCGATGGTGCATGACGATAGTGTTTGGAAGTGTTTTGGTTTAGGTTGCCCTTGTGAAACTTCTTTTGGCACCAGAAAAACAAATTGCCATGGAACAAAGTCCATTGCTGGCAGTGGACGAGCCAAGAAGTGAGCTACTGGCACAGAGTTAACCACAGGGACCTCATGGTCTGTGAGGCTGATCCTTTATTAAAATAAAGTTTGAGATATTTGAAACCTGTTGGAGTAGTGCTGACTTGTTGGGTTTTCAAGATGCGTGGGCTTTTTTTCTTTAACAGGAAAGAAAGAGGAAACTGGCCCTGTGAAAATCTGAAGTTCTGTGTTCAGAGGCTCTGTGGACCTTTTGGATTTTCTTAGTATCATTTTATTACAAAGGTGGAAAGAAAGGGTTGCCTAGGCTGCTGAAAAACCACCATTTCAGGGCTGTGTTTCAAGATAACTGCTTTTATATGGAAACTGTATATAGTGGAGGAATTAATTCCCAGCTTATGAAATACAGTTCATCTTTATTACTGTCTTGGGAAAGACAGTATCGTTTTATCTCCCTCAGAAAAACTGAGAAGGGAGATTGGTTCTTGCTTTGTACTCACCTGAGCCTCGCTGTGTCCAGATTCCCAGGTGTGACTTTTCAGAGTCATTCTGTTGCTCATTCACATTAATTACTCCTTTTAAAGTCAACTGATCACCTCATCAGTCCCCATAACAGATAAGGCATCCTACCCTTAAATTTGAAAGCACCAGCTGTACTTCTCTAAACCTTGTCTTAGTTTACTTGCCTTAACTAACACCACACAGGCTCTGCCTCTTTAGCTTAGGCACGTCGGCTGTCCCTGTTCAGAGGACAGCTACTGTGCTTTTCCACTGTTTGCACTGGAGGTGGTGGTGTTGAAGATCGAAGTACAAAATAAGCCATTAAAGCTGAAGGTCAGAGTGTCTGCATCTTGGTGATGCTCAGAACAATCGGAGTTGTCAGGCTATCCAACTTTTAACTTGCAGTGGGCACAAGTGTCAAAATTGGCTTTGTGACAGCCTTTGTTGCCAAAGTAGTGTGGCAGGAGTTCGTACAAGCCTATAATGCTCAATATGTAAGAGGATTTTGTTGTTTGTTGCATTCAGCTTACTGAAACCTAGTGCTAAAGCAGGAATTTAAAACTACGTGAGTTCTGGAGAACACTAAAATCTTTCTTTATTGGAGTGCAACTGGAGTCAAAGCAGTTCTGGACTGTCAGAATCGTGCCAGTCATGGAAGGTGTCAGAAGTTTAACAGGTGGTAGCACAACCAGTTACGCAGTAGGAATTGCAGGAATTGCAACCACACATGCAGGGTTAAAGGGGCATGTACTAATTTTGCCTTTCTGAATCGTAACAAATTAAGAACTGTGGTCAACAGCAGCGTTGCTGTTTCTTTAAATAAAATTAAAAAAAAAAAGAAGAAGCCCTGATACACATTTTATCGTGTTTAATTTGCTGAAGAAGTTTTGAAGAATTCGCAGTTGTTTAGATTATGGTCTGGTTTATGCTTAAATTTAGTTCTCTCCAAAAACCGCCCTGGTTTGCAGCGGTAAAGTTCTGTCAAGTTGAGGTAAAACTTCTCAAGAAGTTAGCTGTTATGTGCCTGTACTGAGAATTTCCCAAGTGTGTTAAACGCAGTACTGTTTGATCTTCACTAAAAGGTCACCTCCACTAGCGATCCCTTACCTCTTTCACTTACTGGGTTTCCTGCACTGGCTGTATCATGTCTCTGGGGCAAGGGACAAGCAAGTGCATGAGAGCTCCGTATTTAGGCGCTTCAGTGTGACTTGAGGAACGCAAAGGAGATGAGGCATTTTTGGTTTATTCAAAAATTACAAAAAAGGTCACACCAGAATTTGTGGAAAGCAAGCAAAACCTTTTGTTAGGTATGCCGAGTAGAAAGCCAACAGTGCAGTTTATAAAATAGAACACAGCTTGGATGTGTGCTTCATCCCTCTGAAAGAACTGATTCCTCTCCTCAAGTCTTGCTCTTTGGGGTCTGGATGGGACATGATAGGAACGCACTCAAGTGCCCTTTTCTTCTGTACTTTGTGCAGAACTATTCTGTAGACCCCTGTTATTGAGCTGCGCGCGTCTCCTCCCCGGTTATTTTGAATGTGCTCTTCCGTGATTCCCAGGTCTCCCAGTATATTTTTCACTTCGACTTCTTCCTCTTTGAGGGTACTGACATCTGATAAGTACTTCGGATCCAGTTTAAACGGCTGTAAAGGTTTGGGGTACTGTATTCCTTGCATCCATTCACTGTTCATAATAAGTTTGACAGAGTATCGCTCGGTTGGTACTGGCTGAAGGACTCCTTTTATCAGTTTCTGGCAGGTTTCTGAGAGGCAGGGAGGCAAACTGTAGGTCCCTTCAAGAATGCACTTTTTCAGTTTGGCCACTGTATCTGCCCGAAATGGCATGATACCCGTCGTCATGAAGTATAACAGGATTCCTAGTGCCCAGATGTCTACATAAATGCCAACATA